CTTTATTGACATGTCTATTTCTGTCTGTCTAAGTTGGCTGTTTTATTGTTGTTGTTGTTGTTGTTGTTTTTTTGCCAGAAAAGGCTGAATATGGATTAGACCTTTTGCCATTTAATTCAACATAAAAGCTTCATTGTAAAAAAAAAAAAAAAAATTAAACACAAAATACCATAAAAATCACACAATACAAACCTAAATGGTAATCATAAGTTACATGCTAGTGAAAAAAAAAAAAATTTTATAAACAGGACAATATTTGTATTTTACTATAAAATACTCTAATCATTATACACTGAATAAAATTTGGGTAGAAAAAAATTTCACTCAGAAATTGTTACAAAAGTAACTGTTCAAGTAAACAGCAAGTAACGCATTGAAATAAACATGCCATTTTAAAGTCCGCGAGAACCGGAAGTTGCTGCCGACTTTATTTCAGTGTAGTGCCATATTTCCAGCTGAAACTGAATATTGAATAGAGGACATGATTTTATTTTTGCGCTCCTCCTCTCTGTCTCTCACTCATAGCAATCTAATGGTTGGAGGGGTGTGTTTAATACGGTGACCGAGAAGTGCAAAACAAATCACAATTCTGAAAACAAAATAACAAATTACAAATGCAAGTCTAAAAAGCAAAATAACAATTCAGAAAACACAACAACAATTCAGAAAACATTATAACAAGTCAGAAAACACAATGACAAATTCGAAAACAAAATAAGTCAGAAAACACAATGACAATTCAGACAATCCGGAAGAGGTAGGTATAGTTTGAGACAGCGCCATTGGTTTGGGATTACTCACCTCTGACTGGACGAGACATCTGTCAATCAACATATACAGGGAAGAACCAGCCGAAGAACAGCAGAGTCGTGGTAGAAAGTTTGGAGATGGTATTAAAGTAGCTTAGTTTAAATGTATTGTATGAATTGCCCTTACTATGGAATAAAAAATACGGATTGTCTATTTACATTTAGTAAAAAGTGGCTTTTAATCATCAGCGCCAGTGGCGCAGATGGATAAGCACGTGTCGTTGGCTTTTTGACGCGATCGACCCGGGTTCGAGCCTGTCTTTTGCCCGAACTTTTTTCCCCTCCCTTTTCAAATCTCGTATTAGCAATGGATTCTATTTACACTAAGTGAAAATAGCAGTATTTTAGCAATATGCTATTTACACTATGTGCAAATACCTATTTACACTATGTTAAAATAGCAGGATTCCCATTATCAAGTATACTACTTGTTGCAAATAGTGGCAATTATCTGCACTTCAGTATTGTAGTACATTATAAAACAGTATGCAATAATAACGTATTGAGTGTAAATTATAATTTTAATTGTTAAATGGATGCCACCTTATTGGTACAATAAAGCCCTCCCTACACCTACCCTAACCCTAGCCGATATTTTATTTTGAACTTTTTTATTATTTCCTTAATTTTCATTGAAAATAAATGCCTTTACGATATGATATGAGATTTGAAAAGGGAGAAAAAAAAAGTTAGGCAAAAGGCGGGATCAAACCCGGGGCGATCGCGTCAAAAAGTCAACAACACGTGCTGATCCATCTGTGCCACTGGAGCTGATGTTTTACAGCCGCTTTTAACTAAATGTAAATATACACTCCGTATTTTTTATTCCATAGTAAGGGCAATTCATACAATACATTTAAACTGAGCTACCACGACTCTGCTGTTCTTCGGCTGGTTCTTCCTGTATACGTTGATTGACAGATGTCTCTTCCAGTCAGCGGTGAGTAATCTCAAACCAATGGTGCTGTCTCAAACTATACCTACCTCTTCCGGTTTGTCTGATTTGTCGTTGTGTTTTCTGACTTGTTATAATGTTTTCTGAATTGTTGTTGTGCTTTCTGAATTGTTATTTTGTTTTTTAGACTTGCATTTGCGTTTGTAATTTGTTATTTTGTTTTCAGAATTGTGATTTGCTTTGCACTTCTCGGCCACCGTAGTTTAAGGATATTCTGCCCAAGCCGTCAAATTGAAGTCATCAGAAAAGGAATGCCATTCCAGAGCGGAAGTAAATGTTCAGATTTTGATTAGAGATTACCAAAACAAACAATTCCTTTCAGCGGATTAACTTGCACGGATTAATTGTTCACATGAAGACTAGCAATGTGCGCTAGTAAAGTAAATAAAGTAAATTTTGATTTCATGCGAACTTTAAATAAATAGTAATAGGAAATAGTACTTTCTTGTAAAACATACTCAAATAATTGTTTTAATTACAACTTCAAAAAACGTATATATTTATAAGTCAAATTGTAAAATAACCTACTTGGTTATATTTTGTATGATCTAAATAGTTATGTTCTTAGTTTTGTAACCATTTATGCACACAAGTGTGTTTATGCTACAGTGTATGTTCCTTGCATTATTATAGTGGTGTGTTTTTGTGTGTGTGTGAGCAACACTGTGTTCATTAGCCGACGTTCATGAGACCTTTAACTTTATGTGACCATGGAGGGGCCATTGAGTCTTTGACTGCCAGAGGGGTCCCAGCTGATCACTCAACCTCCACGTGACCCGTCACTTTACATTCTGTTTGAAGAGATGACGCGACTACTCAACCAACTTCATTCATTAATATAATTTTTAAACGAATTCTAACATCTTTTTTTACGTGTATTGCCGACATCAACATCTGTCAATAACAGCCATTGCTAGAAGCGCAATATATGATAGACCACAATCTTAATTGCATGACAGTTTAAGTGCGCTCGCTGTCGCGCCTTGATACACAGTGTCGTTTCTTTAAAACGAGTTCAATTAAATCTGGCACGCACGCAAATCTGGACAAATATGTAAGACTGGCATTTCATAAACGAAAAAAAAAAGTTCACATGCGATTCTAACTGAATATATAGTATTTTCTCTATTGTTCTAGCAAAATACATACGAATGCAAAATACACACCTTTCATCCAGTCGACCACCTGGCTTGTTGACCACCTGCTTACAGGTTCCATGACCAGAGCCATTGTAGAAGTTTTTGCAGACGGTGCCAAACAAAGGTGCGAAAGAAGCGCTTCAGCACACTCCAGATCCACTCAGGCAGATTTCTGCCCGTTTTTCATCCGCTGCATGTTTACCCTGCAAATTCTGCTCTGGTTCTTGCAAACGAAGCGTCGGTGGTCTTTCTAGTTCAAAGCATTGCTCTGCATTCCTTCGCAGCAGTCTTTGTGAGAGAGCTGTCAGAATAACGTTAGATTCCTCTTGGTCTCGCGCGAGGGTTTATCCTCCTTGTCATTTTCACTCACGTTGAGATACCTTTACTGTTTCAGTTTCTCCTCCCATATATAGCCTATCGAGCCATAGAAGACAAACAACGGTGAATTCACGCAGCTGTTTGCCTCGTCTCAAGCTGTTAGCAGTAAGCAGTAGTCTGCACGCGCGCCCCTCGCGCCAGTCGTTGGCTCTGTCATGAGGGCCAAGCAGCGGAAACATCTCCATAATTGAGCTGTGTGCAAACGAGAGTATTAAATACACCCTTACAAATAGTATTAAAAGATTGGGACTAGAATGCTCTATTATGCAGAATCAAATGAGTCACTGTTTACTTTGAAGCCTTTTTTATTTCAATGCTTAGATGAAGAGTTTTTGTTTTTTTAAATGACCAATCATTATTGAAAGGGATAGTGAAAATTCTTTCTTCTGTGGAACACAAAAGGAAATGTTGAGCAGAATAACAGTCTCAGTTACTATTCGCCATCATTTTATGGAAATAAGATGCAACAAAAGTGAATGGTGACTGATACTGTCGATCCCTAACCCCTCTTTTTGTGTTTTCAACGGAAGAAAGAAAGTCATATGGGTCTAGAACAACATGAGGGTGAATAAATTATGACTTTCATTTTTGGGTGAACTATCCCTTTAACCCAATCATGCATAAAGATTAGGTGCACACATATTAACACAATCTAAATGATCATTAATATTTATGTAGTTTTAGAAAGATATGCATTCAGTTGAATGCATGATTAAAATCTTTATCTAAAGGCAATTTCCATAAAAAAAATGAATTTTTAAGATGTTTTAAATGCCTACTGTCCTCAAAATTGAAGTGACCTATAGTCAGGGCTTTGTGCATGATCATTCAAGGGGAAACATCCAATGCCGTCGGCTGACTTTCATGCCACTAGCTTGTCCCAATTAAGCCTCTTTCTTAAAAGAAACACGGTGTTCAACAAAGAAACATCCCATGATGTGCAGACAAGTCAGCTTGGTTTATGCAACCATTCATTAATGGGATAGTTTACCCCAAAATTAAAATTCTGTCATCATTTACTCACACTTTTGTTGTTTCAGAATTATATAACTTCCTTTCTTCTGTAGAACATAAAATAAGTTATTTTTAAAAATGTCATAACCCATATATGTGCCCATTCAAAGAAAGTCAATGGTCACCAAAATGGTTTGGTTACATTCTTCAAAATATCTTTGTGTGTGTGTGTGTTTCTCAGAAACAGAGAAAGTCATACAAGTTTGGAATGACATGAGGGTGAGTAAATGATGACATAATTTTCATTGTTGGGAGGAGTCTACCTTTAATTTTTTTATGTATGTTAACATTACAGCATTAGATTACAATTAGATTACAGATCTGAAATGTGATTATTGTAATAAATATTTATACTGTATGTATAGCACTATTTTAACTTAGAGAAAGTCATACAAGTTTGGAATGACATGAGGGTGAGTAAATGATGACATAATTTTCATTGTTGGGAGGAGTCTACCTTTAATTTTTTTTATGTATGTTAACATTACAGCATTAGATTACAATTAGATTACAGATCTGAAATGTGATTATTGTAATAAATATTTATACTGTATGTATAGCACTATTTTAACTAAAAAAAACATACAAAATAAATGTATGAACATGGATCAATCTAAGACATAAAATAAATCATTACCTAAACAAATAAACGGAGATGCATTTCACAGAGTGTTTTATGTTGATTTCACATCTCATGGGAACATAAGGGGAGCGTGCATTGCTGCCGACAGATGTTGAGATTCCTTACAGCCTGCAGGGGTATTGAGAAGAGGCTTTTGAGGGACAAGAGGAGGAGAAGGGATCAAGGTTCAAGAGCTGCTCCATTAAGACTCAGACTCACCATCTGCAGCTAGAGTTGGGGGCCTAAACATCTACAACAAATCTGCAGGATATGAGATCAGTGTCTTTCACAGTGGGAATTCAGGCCTTTTAAACGTAGAAACAACACAATCTCAAAATGGGATCCTTCACCAAAGTGGTGTCAAAAAGGGTATAAGTCAAGTGTCTTCTAGCTTTTTTCAGACAAATGACCCTCTAGTGCATAGAAAGACAGACCAGGGACCCCCTGTTACCAATTTTATTTATCAAATATTTTGTAGCTTTTGACATTTAGTTTAGTTTTTTTTTTCCATAATAAAAAAATTCTCAGAAAAATAATTGTCAGGCCGCTGTTGAAGACCCCTGGTATAGGTAGATTTCTTCAAACATGTGCCAGGATTATGTAAGCAAAATTGGAAAATGGAAAAAAAAGTTTAAAATACAAGAAATAACCATAGTATTACATAATGAAATACACATTTACTGAATAAAGAGCACAAATATAAACCTTATGCAAGTTATATGTAAATATAATAATAATAATACATCGATACCAGAGACACTTAAGGTAGGTTATCAGGTGACACATATCTGTTGTCTACGGTCTCAACTAACAACTACAAAATCTACGTCACTTAAATATCCTTACTGCTGTCTCTTTAAGAAAACAGGGAAGTAAGTACACAACTTCAAACCGAAAGTGATTCTGATCAGATACTCTAGGTGCGCGTTTGCTAGCTATATGTATGTTCGCTGGTTAAGTTTAATATATACGGTCTTGCAAAACAATTAACTCAAAGTTAACCAACCGGTTTTGTTTCAACTTCCGCAATTTTATGTGAAGCCAGGCGTGGATCGAGAGGATTGCGGAGTCATTGCTACAGAAATAAACAAAGGTGAACTCATTAGACAGCTGCTATAGCTACACTTCAGTCTCTATCTGAATCTCTTTTAATAGCATTCTGTATTTGCAAACTCATTTGACCACATATAAGGTCATATAAAGGGAGTACAAAAGGTTTCTTTCAGTCTACAAGGTGACCAAATATTGGCTTTTCTCTACAGTGTAATTAATTTCTCCAATTTCTCTAGTTTTCTGGGGTAATTTTTTTTCACACTGTACATTGGTAAACCTTGGGCTAATGTTTGTATGTACGAAGGCCTATGTATGAGACCAACAACATTGACTGGGCCAGTATAACCTGTTTTTAGCTACTTCTTTAAAAATGACGCCGGGTAAATCTGCTCTAGCCCTGTAGAGTCTCCAAAAATCTTAGTTAAAAGGATAGTTCACCCAAAAATGAAAATCCTGGGGATAAGCAGATAAACATAAAATTTTCATTTTTGGGTGAACTATCCCTTTAAAGCATTTCAATCAGTGTTAGATTCCAAAACTACTTGTTGCAAATAGCAAAACAAACTAGTCAATCAGCAGTAAGGGGCGTGTCTACTCATGATCATATAAGGTCATATAAAGGGAGTACAAAAGGTTTCTTTCAGTCTACAAGGTGACCAAATATTGGCTTTTCTCTACAGTGTAATTAATTTCTCCAATTTCTCTAGTTTTCTGGGGTAATTTTTTTTCACACTGTACATTGGTAAACCTTGGGCTAATGTTTGTATGTACGAAGGCCTATGTATGAGACCAACAACATTGACTGGGCCAGTATAACCTGTTTTTAGCTACTTCTTTAAAAATGACGCCGGGTAAATCTGCTCTAGCCCTGTAGAGTCTCCAAAAATCTTAGTTAAAAGGATAGTTCACCCAAAAATGAAAATCCTGGGGATAAGCAGATAAACATAAAATTTTCATTTTTGGGTGAACTATCCCTTTAAAGCATTTCAATCAGTGTTAGATTCCAAAACTACTTGTTGCAAATAGCAAAACAAACTAGTCAATCAGCAGTAAGGGGCGTGTCTACTCATGATGTGGAGGAGAGAGCGTTCAGTGCACAGGACGGACATTAGCTAAGCGACAGAAAGATAGAGATGGCGGATAAAAAAAACAAACGTCTGCAGAACAAAATAAGGCTTAAGGCAAGAAGTAGGACCCGTGTAAATATTGGATCAGCTTTCCAACGCTGGCTAGAACTCAAGGAGCAGAAGGACGCTGAGGTTGCTTTGTTCCTTCTCGATAGGTGAGTAACACCGTGTCTGCGCCGCAGTAGCTAAAGTCTATCTAGTACACTGGATGCGACAAAGCGACCATTGAAAATTATTTGAAATTTGTGTCAATACGTCATGAATAGAACGCAGCAGCAGTTTTCTGTCCGGGATTTGTCATGTCGTGCCGCATCCAGTGTAGACCATAGATATGTGTATGTAGGCTATATGGTGTAGACAGCATCACTGATTATAATGAGTCCCATAGTATTTTGTCGTGCCTCTCGCGTCCGGTGTAGACACGGTGTAACATTGGTTTTGTATTGTTTCACAGAACTAATCAGTTGCCTGGGTTGTGTACGTATGTGTGGGGCGGAGCTATCAAAATAGGGGTAGGAGCGTGTTTGTTTTGGTGATTTCAAATGTCAACATTGGCTACCAGAAATCGCTTAACCCACCTTTAAAGTTCAGCGAGTGTGCAAAGCACATGAATATTTAATTAAGTAAAGCACAGAGGCAGTTTATGATTGGCTGTCAGTTGCTAAACTACTCATTGTGTGCCATTCTAGCACCATTGTTTCACAATACTTATCACTGTAACGACAAATTGATGTCAAACGTTATTCAACTAGGGTTTAAAAAGGGTTACGCTCTATTCTAACAAATAACTTGAGTTTTATCGTTCATAACGCAATACCGCAGTCCTTCCGCAGGAATAGACGTGGGTTGTTTAAATTAAATGCAAATGGACTTTGCGATATCTTTGTATCGCTTTCATCAGGGTAACAACACCGAGCTGTTTCTAACAAGCGGGGGAAACGTTGCAAGTCCGAGATGGATGACGACGCAGTAGATGTGGCGTCAGACAACAGTCTGCCTTTAGGAATCGGGGCTTCCGCCTTCGGGAGTGAAAATGGGGATGAAGCGGACGACGCGATTCCTCAGAGGACACTTCCATTCACCCTCGGATTCTCCGATTCTGTGGGGTAATATGGTTTTCGGTAATCTGATGTTGGTGTGTAATAAGGTTCAGCAAGGAATAGCCATGTTGACGTACACGTTAGACTCATGCATGCGTGTGTTGTGTAAGTGCGACACCTGCTGGTAAGATCGGGAACACGCCGTAGTCAAAATATTATTTAGCTAATAAGTTTAGAGTTATTTGACTTGCATGCTTAATTACAACTCATTCGCTTTCAATTTACTGACTTTTTCATGTTTTCGTTTTTCTGTCATTTACAATGATCGTTCTCACCAGACAATACGTGGAGAGAGCAGAGTCCCCTGCATCCAGTTATGCCTCCATGCAGAGTGACAGCTGGTCAGAAACAAGAGAAGAGCACGAACCCTGCCGCACACAGCAAGTTTACATTCATTAAATCTTTCCCGAAGACAATTTTTTATTTGTATTATTATTATTTGTTTGTTTTTTGAGATTACATGACAGGTTTTATATATTTTATTTGGTCTTTGCAGGGTTAATATGTTCTACATACAGTTAAGGGGCATTTTAAAGATAGGATTGAGGCTTTTATCAGTAGCATACTGTAAGAGTGAAAATTATACTTATGAGTTATTTGAAAGATTGAAAGAGACTTTGCTCTCTGTGCTTGTGGCTAAGGTTGTCATTCTTGTAAGTTAGCTTTTGATTTTCTACAGGGTTCAGTTGTGTAGACGGGACTCGTCTGCTTCTAGCAGTGAAGAGTTTAATAGTGATGAGGAGGACATTAATATGGAGGGCAGTGCTGAAGAAAGGTGAGTGGAAGTCACATGATGCATCCGTACCATTTGAACTTTGCCATTACCATGGCATGGTCATCTTGATATACAACTCAGAGGTCATAATAAATATGTTAGTCATGGGTGTCAAGTACCCCTTGATGGATAGAGAGATGATTTAGAGTTTAATTTTAATCCTGGCCTATATTTGCCATATTCAACCGTATTACCGTATTTAATGTATTCAAATGATTAGTTACTGTAAGATGCTTACAGTTCCATTAAAATAACTATTGTACAGAAGCATACATAATACATGTTTTCATTTTAGAATACATTCATAAGAGACTTCTTTCAAAAACATTAAGAAAAAATCTTACTGACCCCAACATTTTGAACAGTTGTGTAGTTTTTCATTTATTGTAACATTAATATATTCTAAAAAGTATATTCTTTTTTAAATTAAGCACACGGAAGAAGAGCAAGAAGGAAGGAGGTGTGAAACAACAAAATGTTCCTGCTCTTGTAAAACCAGAGTTGGTAGTAGATCCAAATGAAAAAAGGCATCCAGCAATGACGGTGGAATTTGCATTTAAGGCGAGGCCTACAACCATTGGTCATCCATTTAAAGCAATAACAATATTTCCAATAAGTGCCTTTCACATTAAGTTGAGAAAACTAACATTCTTGCTATATCACAGGCCCTCACCAGCTGCCTAAAGAAACTTGCAGATGATGAATTAAAGCACTTCAAAAAACTGCTGTGGGATCGATATCCAGAGCGCTTCCATGATCCGCTGGACGGACTTGATCTTGTGGATCTGGTGGATAAGATGCTGGAGCTTTGCGATATCAAGGTCTCTCTAAAGATCACGCTGGCGCTCTTTAATATCATGAACTTTAAGAAGCTGGCTGAATATCTGCTAGGTCTATGCAAAAGAAGCAAGTTATTTTATTTTGTCCTCTCCAAAACATTACAGTGCTTTTCAAATTATTGTCTTAAAAATCTTTCTTTGTGACGTTCCACAGATGAAGTGCGCTACGAGTTGAAATTGACTCTGAAGAGGAAGTATGAGATGGTATATGAGGGTTTTAGTCAACAAGGACAACCAGTCCCCTTTGAGTCTGTCTATACAGACCTTTACATTACAGATGGCGTTAATGCATCAATCAACAGTGAGCATGAGTTCAGATCAAAGATAGAACAGCTCTTAGAGACTGGCAAAGTGAAAAGGAAGCCATTAACTGGAAATGACATGTTTATCCAGGAGAATGTGAGGTCGAGGCCCGTAAGGGTGGTGTTAACCAGGGGGGTCCCAGGATGTGGCAAATCATTTGCTGTGCAGCGCTTCATCCTCGACTGGGCAGATGGAAAAGTCCACCAAGATGTTTTCTTCCTCATTCCTCTGCAGTTCAAGGAGCTGAATAAAATGCTAGAAGGAGATTATACCCTCCTGAGTCTAGTCAGCATCCTCTATCCAGAGATGAAGGAAATAGATACTCTCGATTTCGAGGGCTGCCTGGTAATGTTCATATGCGACGGCCTAGATGACACTCAAATCCCCTTTAATTTCCGGAGAACGGCGTATTGGTGTGATGCGACCAGGCCTACAAGTGTGCAAGTGCTGATCACCAACCTCATCAGGGGGAACCTGCTCTATGACGCCTACATGTGGATCATTTCTAGGGCAGGAGCTCTGGATGTGATCCCACCAGAACACGTCCAGCAGCTTCTGGAGGTTCGTGGCTTCACCGATGTTCAGAAAGAGGCCTATTTCAGGAAGACGATCACAGATCGAGACCTTGCTGAGAGGGTGATTGCTCACATCAAGTCTTCTAAGACACTGTTTATTATGTGCCACTTGCCGCTGTTCTGCTGGGTGGCATCTAAAGTGATGCAGCGGCAGTTCCAGTCTCTTCAACCATCAGCACAGCTGCCCAAAACTCTTACCAATTTATACACCATTATGCTGCATGGTCAAACTCAAATGTCCATTGAGAAACTGCAGAACGACCCCACCGAAGACACCAAGGATCTTACTGCTGATCAGCTGCTCAT